CCTCTGCCCCAGCAGAGCCCTGGCCATTGCTTGCTGACGCATTGCAATGCTTTGGTGGTGGGAACATTCCCCAGCAGCAAAACCTCCCTGTGAGTCACACACAGGGCTGCCTCGTGCCCGGGAAGGATTTTCCCAAATACTGGAGGTGATGAGGTGTCCTCACATAGCCCAAAGCATCTCAGGCTCACCGGTGCTCATGCTGCAGCTGGCTCTAACATCCCCTAAATCATATCTTCATCCTTCATGTGCACTGCCTGGTGTTTGGAGGTCAGAGTGTGCTCAGCGGGCTGAGCTGTGCGGTGCTTTGCTGAGGCACAGAGGGAGCTCTGGGACCCACCAGCACTTCCCAAGGGAGGGCAGGGGCGAAGGGGACTGGGACAGCCCACACTTCCAGCATTGCCTCCACCCATGGGACCCTGGAGCTGCCCTAGCAATAATGCTCCCTATTCCTCACTTCTTTAAGAGCTGAATAAATAAGGTTACTACAGACCTAAATGACTTAAACCTTACAACTTAGCGTATCTGCATTTCATACTCCTTAAAAGGACAAAGCACTAACATTTTCCCTCCAAATCCAGCTCAGGGTGACCAAGAAACCACATCTAGTTTGCTGAATCAGCACTGTTTGGTGTAGGAAATAGAATGGGATCAATAAGAGCTTTTCCACCTCGATGGTATCTTCTGATCCCTTCCATAGGAGTGACCAGCAGCCAGTGTAACCACTTCCATGCTTTGTGAGTCACCACCAAACATTTTGGGTTTGTAGATGTGAAAACCAAACGCAAGTGTTGAACTTCACAGGGCTCCCTCTCTGCCTGGGTAGCACCCCCCTCTCACCATGGGTGCAAAAGGCAGCGCAGCAGCAAAACTTTATGGCCAGACATCCAAAAAGCTGAGAGCTGTAGGACCAAAGCAGCTCTTGCAGGTTGACCCCTGCACAGCAGTAACCTTTCCAGATGTGTGCCAGATGTGGCGATGGTGTGAACAAGATGTGGACAGCTTCCAGGTTTAGCTTAACACAGATCTGAGCACTGGGGGAGATTTGGGGGATTTTACCCTCCCCTCCAAAAAAAAAAAAAAAAAAGGCATTTCAAGGAGTTCTGTGAGAGTTTGCTCACACTTTAGCCCAAGCTAATAGATGCAGTTATCACTGAGCAAAGCTTTTTTGGTAGAATGCAGCAGGAATAGAGAAAACAGAACTGCTGTGGCTCTGGGCAGCAGAGCTGGAGGAAAGCAGTGGTGCTGGGAAATGCAGTCCTGGGACACAAATCAGGAGGATTTGGGATGAAGCTTGAATTCGGGCACAGGTTTGTGCTAGTTGCTCATTTATCCACACCCAGCCTTTCCACAGCAGAACTGCTAAGACTAAAATAAATAAAAATAGAGTCAGTCAAGCTTTATTCATCCTAGAGTGTTACTGTTTGAGTAGTTTGTTTCTTTGAGGTTGCGGAGTTGTCAAACCTCCCCAGTCCCCTCTGATGTTTTAGCACACTTATCAGGTATGAGTAAAGCTATGTGCGAGAAATGAAAGGTTGTGGTCTTCAGAAGAACTGGTATCAGAAAGGCAGCCTAAAGATGAATAGCTTAGTGTGTTCACACTTCTTCTGTTGCGTATATTACACTGTATTCACGGGGCAATGTATGGGTTGTACTTTCTTTTTCTCTATTTTCTTCTTTTCCTGCGTATTTGATCACGCATTTGAAAGACTGCGGTGCTGATAAGAGAAAGATAGGAGCTGGGAGGGAGCAGAGTAAACACAGATTCCCTGCACACACAGGATGCCTCTTTAATTATCACTTCATCTGAGCACAATTGCGCACAAACAAGGACATTTGTTGGCACTGGGAAGTTGCACAGCGGCTCTTCAAGCGTTTTGCATAAAAACGGAGCTAAATCCCAGCACTGCCTTATTTCTGACCTGCTTTCAGAGTCAGCTCTGCTGTTGGTGAGAACAGCTAGAAATGAGCATAAGGACAACTCCTACCTGGGGTAGGCTCTTCAGCAGGAAAAAAAATAGAGATGCAATCCAGGCAGCTCAGAGGACAGCCCACAGCTCACTTCAGAAGCAGATTTTGTGTGGCTGATAAGACCAGCGAGAAATAAGGAACAGAAGCACTGTGGTCACTGAAATCTATTGCCACACAATCCCTTTGAACAGGAAACAATAAAACCCAGCTCTAAACCCAGTGTCCAGAACCAGAAACTCACCACAATTGTGAGAGCATCCCTAGGAAGGCACTGGAGTGATATGGGATCCAAACACCACCATTCTCAAGCATCCTCACCCTGCAAACAGCCCCCAAGCTCTGAGCTTCCCCTGACCAGCAGTTACAAAGGCACTGAACCCTCTGCAATCCTCAGGATTGCAGATCAGCTGCAACTGAAGCTACTGCCACCAATACTGCCAACATGACCTGGCATTACGGATGGTGGAATTGCCTGCCAGCAACACCTCCGTTTTTTTCTTTCTCATATAAGGACTTGTTCTCTTATTTAGAAATGACTCCCTGGGACTAACATGGAATTAAGTCAGAAGAATACTCTTGGATGGAGTTGGGGTTGGGATCGGGTTCGGGGTTGGGAATGGGGATGGGAGATGGAGTTGGCATTTGAGTCTGAGCTGCCCATGGCAGGGGTCATGATGCAGAGCAGGGAGCAGCTCCTTCTGCAGATGGCTAACACTGATAGTTTTGTATGTTATCAAATTTTCCTTTCTGATTCTTTTATAATAACGGAAATACGACCAAGATTAAATTAAAAATGTATTTTCAAAAAGGTGTTGCCCATACAGGCACACTCAGAGCTACACAATGTGCCAGACAGTGATGAATTCTGAATGCTGGGTTTGTTTCCAGAAGTCATTGCTAACTTTTCCTACCTTAGTAATGATTCAGTTTTTTGTCCTAAGCTAAAGGTCATCATTAACTCATACTCTTAAGGGAAGGCTCTGTAATCATCACTCCATCTACCACTGCAAAGGTGTGAAAAATGTTGCCTGAAATGCATGGCGACAGCACCTATGCCTCCCCCAAAAAAAGCCAGAATAGATTTTTGAAGAGGTATGGCAAGACTGTGGGGCTGTGATCTCTTATGGCAGGTGGACAATACTTGTAACAGACCCTGCAGAAACTTACTATTTCTTTTCCTTTGCTGCCCAAACCCGATTTTAAAATTGGGACCCACACCCAGTTTTAGCCATAAAGCCTCTCTGCAATCTCCAGCTCTGATTTCCGAACCTTTGTAATTTAGAGAGTTTGAGTCAGCTCCAAATTTGCTGTTGTGGAACTGAACCAGTTGAACCCTGGTGCATGGAGCCGGAGGCAGTGGATGGGTGCTCTGCCTCCTTCCTATGCACCCAAAGTCCAGAAAACCTGAAATATTTCCCTTGCCTCCTCTTCAGGCACATATAGTGCTGCTTTCTTTTGTAAATCTCATCTCTGTGTTTATCCAGCTTGAAAACGACGTGAAATTACCTTGTATCAAAGGCTGGTTAATGAATTAATTTTTATGTTGGAGTAGAAGCAGAATAGACCAGTTCCATTCCAGGCAAGCCCTGCAGTTTTCATTATCTGAAACAATTAGTACAATAATGGCTATTCTTTGAGGGCATTGTCAAATGTGCTTTGGGGATGGGATAAACGATGGAGAGGGCTGGATCTCTTTGGGTAGCAGCGGGACAAGGCAGCAAATGGGAAATGGAGGGAGTGGGAATGTTCTCTCCTCCTGCAGCCCCAGAGGGGAGAAGAAGCAAATCCCGAAGACAAGAAGCAGTGGAGAAGTGGCTGCAAGCAACAGTGGGAAGTGGTTGAGAGGAGATGGGTGTGGGGTGCTTGGAGCCATGCAGGAGCAGGGGGAGATGATTCCTCTAGCCAAGTAATGCCAAAGCCACTTTCTTGCTGTGGGCTGTTCTCAGGGGAAGAGAGGATGGGGGGATAGTACAGGAAATCAACACACTTGTGGTTTCTTTTAATCTGCAAGTATCACTGTGTCAAGTTTCGCACCTGAAGAGCATTTGCAGCGCTCTGGTTTCCCTCCATGCCAGAAGGCACAGTAGCACTGTGTCCACTGCTGTGCAGCCGACCTCGGGGCTCTGACCTCAGCGGCTGAAGGTGAGAAGACCTGAGCTCCTCACACTGACCAGAGCACAAAGAGCACACTGGGCTGCTGCTGAGCCAGCCCTGCCAACAGCAGATTGACTGTGCATCAGTTACAGGACTCTGAGTGGAGAGCTGTGGGCTCTGCTGTGAGATGCAGCTAAGGACAGAAGGAAAAGGGTTGGGGTATTGTAAAGGTATGTGCCCTGCAACCTGGTTCATTCTTGCCCTTCATCACAGCTACCTGTGCTCCTTCTGTGCAGGACTTTCCTCTGGGGATATCTGTCCTGGTAGTTGTTCCCAGAGGGGGCAGCTCCCCAAATGTCTGGCCAATACACTTGACACCACTTCTGGAAACAGATTTTTATTAGGCACACTGTGCTGATACACCTCAGTAATCCAGATCCCACTGCGTGTGTTTAACATTACAAGATCACAGATGGTTGGGGTTGACAGAGACTTCTGGCTCCATCTAATCCATCACCTGCTCCAGCAGGGACACCCAGAGCAAAGTGCACAGGATTGTGTCCAGGTTGTGTCCAAAGGAGACCCAATAGCCTCCCTGGGCAACCCATTGCTTTGGAACCTGCACAGAAGTGCTTCATGATGTTCAGAAAGGAACTCTGTGTTCCAAGTGAAAAGAGGTTGGCTGCTTTCTTTGCACCTTCCCTGCAGTGATAGGATGAGAGGTAATGGCTTTAAGTTGCACCAGGAGAGGTTCAGGTTGGATATTAGGAAAAACTTATTCTCAGGAGTGGTGATGCATTGGCACTGACTGTCAGGGAAGTGGTGGGGTCACCATCCCTGGAGGTGTTTGAGAACCGTGGAGATGTGGCACTGAGGAACATGGTCAGAGGGCACGGTGGGATGGGCTGGGGTCGGGCTTGGGGATCTGAGAGGTCTTTTCCAACCTTAGTGATTCCGTGATTCTATGACGCAGACATTTAGAAACATTGATCAGATCACCCTCAGCTGAATCCCCTCTTTTCCAGGCTGAACATTCCCAGCTGCTCCCAGCAATAAGGGCCCTCAGTTCTGAGCCAACGTGAGGGATTTTTACACCCCATTTCACGTATCATTGTTCTTCCTTTTACACTCTTCTAATTGGTGCATTTATTCATTATCTATAAAATGCTTTCTAGAAAAATGCTTGACAATTGTCCTCATCCCACAGATGTTTCAGTGAGAACAGTGTGCCACATTGCGGTTTTATTTTGTAAGTAATTAATTTCAAAATAAGAAAATGGATTGGAAAATTCATCTAAAGTTAATAGAATGTTTTATAAAAGCAATTTTCAAATACGGAAGTATTATTTCTGTAAATGCCTTATTTACACGGAAAGAAGTAGGATGAAGATAAAAAGTTTCACTTTTCAGTGAAACAAAAAATAATAATAGTCCTCCAAAATAGCTGTTATGAAAATAAATGGAAATAAATGTATCTTATGGACCACGCTGTCTCCAGTCAAAGAGAAAAAGAGTTCATTCCCTCTGAAGATAAATTACGACAAAGTGAGGATGAAATGGACCAGGTTCTGCTCTCAGTTCATGCCAGTGTGAATCTGCTGCCTTCTTATTGCTATTCCTTTTTCTTGCTCCAGACAGCTGGAGGGTATGAAACTCTTTCCATCCACAATTTCCAGTGTTAAACAATTAGATTTCCATCCCCGTTTGTGAAGATGGAGGTGATGACAAAGCAAAGGGAATTAAAATGGTGGTCACACCCAGCAGCTGTAGCAGTGGTGTGGAGCCACTATTGTGTTTCATGGTGTGGGCACCACCTCTTTGCCTCTTCCTGCCCCTCATCCCTTCACACTTCAAGGTTGGATGGGATCCTGAGCAGCCTGATCTGGTGGGGGGCACCCAGCCCACAGCTGGGTCTTGGAACGAGATGATCTTTAAGGTCCCCTCCAACCCATTCTGTGATGCTATGAAGTTTTTGTTTGGTTGGCAAGTAGAGCAACCAGGTGAAACTGAAGCTTACCAGCAGCCATGGGGTCTGGCAGGTCCATCGCAGCAAGACTGACATCATGGCCAACTGCAGTTGTGCTGTAGTGATGCAGCCCAGCCCTATAACTTCCCTCAGCATTTATGCCAAAGGGAAAAAATTACTTCCTTCTTTAAAGACATTTCCCTCCCACCCCTCCTTCCAAACACTTCATGTGATTGGAATATACCATGTCTGCTCCCAGAGAGGTTGTCTCTGCTCCCACAGAGGGATCCATGGTCACTGTCCTCCGAGGGCTTTGGTCTTAATCCGGAGTTTGTGAGGCAGAGCTGAAGAGCTTCGGCCCTTTGTGTGATCTTCTGAAGGGGAGGGCAAGCTACATGGGGGTGGAGGAGAAGTTTTGGGCACTTGCTGCTCATCATCTTCATCTGAGACAGTCGTGGTGCTTTCCTTGCTCATCTCTGCCAGACCAGGACAAGGGGATGAGAAGCAGGCACTGCCTGGGAAAGGCAAATGGAACACATGTTTGTCTGGGCAGTGGAAATCGAGGAAAGGAGAGCAAACTGTGGGTCTGAAGGCTGAATCGAGCCTCTTTGGTTGGTGAAGGCCAGGTGTGTCCATAGAAACTGGCTTTGAGTCACAGCCAAGGAAGTTTCTAGATGGGTTAAAGGTTTTGCATGAAAAGTCGGCCGGCTCCAGCACCTTCGGCACAAAGCTCTTTGTGAAGAGGCGGGAACCCCCAGCAAAGGGCTCTGCTTCAGGGAACGGCGAGAGCCCTTTGTGCCCTTGGAAATAAATCCCTAGGAAGTCCTGCAGGGAGCGGCCCTGCTGGGTGCTGGCATCGGGGCTGATGAGCCCAAAGCGCAGTTTGAGGGCCAGCAGCTCCGTCCTGAGGATGGCATTTTCCTCGCTGAGCGCGGCCAGCTGGCTCTCCATGGCGAAGTCATTGAGTCGCCTCTTCTCCCGCGAGCGTTTTGCCGCCTCGTTGTTCTTGCGTCTCTTCTCCCAGTACATGTTGTCCTTCTTCTCATCTGGCATGAACTCCCGTTTGCGCCGGGAGGGTCCGCTCACTCTGCTGTGCAGGAACTTTGCTTTGCTGTGCTGAAGTGTGAGGTCGCCGATGGCGCTCAGCGGTGCCATGAAGTTGTCCATGGTTGTTGACGCAGCTCAGTTCTGCCAGAATTGAGACATAAAGCTGTTACCACTGAAGCTGCTGTTAATCGTTACATTAATAAACAATATGAAGGGGAAAAAAAAGAACAAATTAAGATAGCCATGTGATTTTTTTCCTGCAGTCACACCAGGAACACAGTTGACGCATCCAAGTCTTCGAATCTCAACATTGCCTCAAAGACCATCATAGAATCATAGAGTCACAGAACCATTTGAGTTGGAAGGGAACCTGTAAGGCCATGTGGTTCCACTCCCTGCAGTGAACACAGACACCCAAAGCTCCATCAGATCTCGTCCCCTGACCTTGGATGTCTCTACAGAGTACCCAAAAGTTGACTGAGAAGAGTTAAAGAGGAGACATTCTGCCAACCCTGTGCACAATCACAAGTACTTTGCCTGACTTAAATCAGGATAACAAAAGTTGCTTTCACATACTGTTTATCTCCCACTGATCTGAAACAGCCTTGCTTAGGAGATAAGTCTCATTGCCTCTGTTTCTCAGATAAAGAAGGCAAAGGGAACTGATTTACTTCAGTTACATACCTTAACAGATGAAATAGGATTACAACTCAAACACATCTACTCAGTCCTGGATTCTCCTAAAAACCACTGGTCTTACTTTATAAAGCTGGATTTGATGACATTTGTGATTTTGGTAGGACAATCACAAGGAGTTATCACCACACATCTCCCTCTAAACTACAATCTTCCTGTATCATGTGGATCCTCCAGGAGATCAAATGGGCTGTGCTGATCAGGTGGGGATGTCTAGAAGTAAGCGCCTGCATGTGGTCCCTCTGACACCCTCTATGCAAAATATCTGCTGCTTATTTTTATGGATATAAAGACCTCCAGTGTTGTTGTCTACTCTGCTTTCTGCACAGTGCGGAACTGCAAAATGGACAAATACGCATCTACAGACAAATCCACATTTATGTCTGACTTTGTTCAGCAGGACCAGAGCTCTTTGCTGGTTTAAATCAGGACAAGTTCCAGGAAAGTACGCTGTCCCAGTGTGATTTTGTAATTAAATTGTTTTAGTTTAGCTGTAACTCTTTGAGATCTCAAACCGTATGCGAAGATTCCAAGGGTAACTAAAGACCAAAACAAAGAATCTCCTTTCGCATGAATATGTTTGGGGTAATTCCTCTGGCTCTTGTTTAAATTGACTCCTGAGCTCAGAGCATCAAAGTGAGTGTGCCTGTGGTTACTGGCAGCGTCAAAAGGCAGAAATATGCTATTGTTGTAGGGCTTAATCACTTACCAGGAATTTTTCAAGTTAGTATTTGACGTGACTTCTTTGTTGAATGAGTCAAAGACGAACAGGTGGCTTTTTCACTGTGTAAATTCATCAGCTGCATCGGGCAAAGTAGTTTGTCTTCTCCTTGTCCACCTCTTGCTCCCAGTGCCTGTCATGAGGACGTCCTATAAGAAGTTTCAAGATTGTGGTAACCAACAGACTCCGGTCAACGTAGCTGGGAAAAACATGAAATAAAAGGGACCCAAAAGAGATACGCATGAGACAGAACAAAAAAAGTAACAAAAAACCTGAGTTCTTCCTTCCAGCAAACAACCTCTTCTTCTCTTATCTCCACCCCAAGTAGCCTCTGATGAACTGTACTTTCCAACAGGTTGTACAGAGCCCTCCAGCAAAAGTATATATCTGACAGGAACTGCTTCACTGCAGATGTATGAGGTGATACACACTTCTCTTTAAATAAAACACACTGCCTCATCAAACAATGGTGAATCTGTTGTGTTGGTTTTTGGGTTTTTTTTGTGTTTGATCATAATTTGGGGTACTCAAGTTAGATTATTCTTCTTCCCAAGGATGCAATAAAATTAGAATAGTGCCAGTAAAAGGCAACTGGAACAGGCATAGATTTATTTCTGTATACGGAAAGGCTAACTCATTATTTCTCAAGAATAAAGGACATGCACTGGAGTTATTGGGCAGTGGATTACAAAGAAAGAGAAGGAAGCACATCTTTGTGCAACGCAACATTAAAATTTGTAGTTTTGTTGCCTTGGGATAGTGTGGCCATCAAAAGCAAAAGATAGTACAAAAGATTGCACCAGGCAGATCTTTGGGCTGACTCCATCTAATTGTTCTTGGATAATGAAATATTAGGTGAATTCAAGTACGACATAAATCATTGAATCATGGAATGACTTGGGTTGGAAGGGATCTTGAAGATTGTCTACTTTCAACACCTTTGCTGTGGGCAGTTTTGCCAACCACCTTATCAGCAGCAGATCAGACTGCCCACGGCCCCCACATTTCCAGTGGGTGGGTGATAGAAGCTGTAAAACTGAACACTGCAGTGGATCACATATTTGTCTTAAATCAGAACAGAGAATGAATCGGATCACCTAAAATGCAAACATTTTAATAAAGTGAATGTCTATGTTTTGTTCTTTACAGTTCACTAATCTTTAATGTACAAATAGAAGCGTTACCACTTTTCATATCACCTCTCCTTCTATATGGTAAAGGCTTTTTCTTAAATCTTCACATCCACTCATTTCACCCCTACTTACATCACAAATTCACATCTACAAACACTAGTTCTACTTTTGAGCTGGATCTTGTTTTAAAACAGAGCCAGGAGGGGCATTTTTTAATCAAGAACACAAGAAGGCAAGATTTTTTAACCCACAGCACAAGAAAGATGTGCAGCTGTTGATGTGGATCCAGGGGAAGTTACAACGATGCTCAGAAGGTTGGAATCCCTCTGCTATGGGGACAAGCTGAGGGTTGGGGCTGTACAGACTGATGAAAAGAAGGCTCCAGGAGACTTCAGCGTGGCCTTTCAGTACTTAAAAGAAGCTATCAGGAGGGAGACCAACCTTTTACATGGACAAGGGGAAATGGTTTTAAACAAAAAGATTTAGATTAGATGCTAGGGGGAACAAAAGGAAGAAAGCTTCCAACTACTTTAAAAAAAAACAAAAACAAAAAAAAAGAAAAAAAAAAAACAAAAAAAACAATTCTATTATTCCATTATCCCATTATTCCATTTCACTCCAGTGTCAATTTCTGGATCAAACTTTCATTTCCAGCTTCCTTTCTGTACTCAGTGCAGCACCCATCTACGTATGAGACAATCCAAGGAGATATCACTGGTGTCTGACTTCACCATAGTCAAACTGGCAGCAGAATTTAAGACTGAAAGAGTTTAAATCAGCACAGAGGTTGAGCCAAGCAACCCTTGCTTTATGCTGATGGAAATGAGGCAGGAGGTTGGAGCTCCATGATCTTTAAAGTCCCTTCTATCCTCAGCCATTCTATGATTTACCCAGTTTTACACTCCTCAATCACACCAGCTTAAACTAAATCAGATCTCAGCTACTAATCTCATGCTCCTCAATACTTCAGTATCTAACCCGCGGGAGTTATTCAGAATTTGCCCTGATAAAATGAGATAGTAGCAGCAAGCCCCAGCGAGCACGGTATGATTTACAGCAGAAACCTTTGCAAACTTCTCGCAGGAACATCATGCGGTACAAGCACTGTTAAGCACCTCAGTAAACGTGCTTGTGTCCTCTCTGCTGCTCGGTCTGTGGTTTGGTAATATCTCACAGTGCTCTCTAAGCCTACTGGCCTATTTAAGGCGAAGGGCTATTATTCTAATCACGTTCTTGACTATTTCACATCCATGCTAAGGCAGCGGTTAGCAGCTGCTGCTGAGCAATATGCATTAATCTCTTTTTGTATTTCAATGGGAGATGGCATGATCCTACAGCAGAAAGAAGGGAAAAAAGACAGGGAGAAAACCTATGGACCTACATTACTGAGCTCCAGGAAAACTGCTTCTGTGGTTCATACCAGTGGAAGAATAAATCTCGCTGGCAACGTGTTAAACTTACATTCAAAACAAAACTGACTCAGAAACGACGAGAATCTGCCAAAGTCACGTATTTGCTGCACATCTATTTTGAAAACACGCAAAGGATTGTTGACTCACATTGCCAAATGTTGCTGTAAGGCTGCCAACGTGTTGTGATGCCTCTATGTCTGTCAATGTGTTGCGATGCCTTTTCAGACAGAGCTTTAAAGTTGAGCATGTTCACTTTTTGGACCAGGTTTTCTAAAGGCTGGTTTCCACCACAGTTTTGCATTCCACTGGGTTTTTGCTTGAAAACCAGACTGCAACACCCTGCGAGGATTTCTTTTAAAACTTGTCCATGCCCTCTGAATCTGTACAGAAAGACTTGACTTTCAGGGGGCTGAAAGACAGATCCAGCTTTTTGAATGCACTAAGATTCTAGATTAAATCGTTGCCTTAGGGGCTTAATCACAACAGGGTTTTTGTTAGGGTTGAATTGCAGTTTTCAGTCTTGGGGTGCAAGACATTTGAAACAACATGAACCTCCCCAGCCTCACCAGCAGAACTGCAGGTTCTTACAACTGTAAGCTGTACAGACCTCCTTCAATTCCTCCATATTTGTGATCAAAGCACTGTGCAGGCTGCACTGCCCGCGGCAACTAGCCTCAAAGTAACTCAGGTATTGCAAACCAACCTCAAAATTTTACCGTTTGTTGACAGTGGACTCTAAGACTGGAAATGCTTTGAAAATCTTTTAAAACCTCAGAGTTGCTGATGATTCTTTGCAAGCTACAGAGTTTTGCAGTTCTTGGTCTGCAGAACCCTCAGTGTGTGCTGCTGATGGATAAAGAATCTTCATGTGGTTTGCTCCATCCAGCTCTCCTCTGCTTCCAGGCACCTCCCCCTGTACACTGTGACTCAAGGTAGGACAGTGCATAAAAATATTCTTTTTCTCTGGGGAGAAATCACTTTAAAAAAAAAAAAAAAAAAGAATCTATTTACTTCCTCAGCATTGTTTTATGATATGGGTGGAAAGCATTGGATTTTTGGCAGATTATGCTGGATACACTTGGGTTTTTTATAAACATTTTTCACTTGTCTTATTCCTTCAGTTCCAGCCCTACTGGGTAGACCCTGCCCCAGGAACACCTAAAGTCAGAATAGCTGAATTGTGCCCTTTTCTCTCACCATTTCTGCACTGCACAGTGCGGCACAGCACAGTGACCTCTGAGCTGTTTCATTTGGATGCAGTAATACTGCACAGGAGTTCCCCCAAGCTAACTCACTCCAACAAGATCAATTAGATCAATTAGCATGGCCAGGCCACGCTTTCTAATGCAAGCTGTTTCCTGGCAGCACGTTCAAGACCAATGCACAAATTTGCAGGACCAGACCTCCTACTATATCAGATCAGTGACATTGCTTCTAGAACAAAAGGACATAAGATTATGCCATGCAAGAGCATAGACGACAGATATGAAGTTGTTAATTTTTGTGTGTGTATATTTTAGGTGGCAGCTTTTGTTCTTGTGCTACCAAGAAGGTGGAGCTGTGTTTCTCTTGGTGTGATGTAGGAGAAATCTTGTTCCACCGTTGGTTGGAGGTGGATGTCTGATCACAGTGCATGCACAGCTCTGCCTTGCTCTGCCTACCCAGGGATGGAAAATTCCATTGGGTTCATACAGAACCTGACAAAAAAAAAAAAAAAAAAACGCTGTCACAACAGTTTCTTTAAAAGTAAAGATCAATTCATGAAGATAAGCTCATCATTATCTGAAAGTTACCCCAGATGATACGGTGGTGCCTCATCAAAAGGAAGAAATGAGAGGCGGATGAGACCAACAGGTAAGTCCCTTCCTCTCCGTGGCAAAGAATATCATTGCTGTGAAATCAATGAGGCCTGAGTGTGTTTTTAAAGCAAAGCATAGGCTGCGAGCTTCTCGTGAGACAAGGCAGAAATGCTGCCTTAAGTAAAGCTGCCATTAATTTTTGCAAATCTGTGGCTTTCAGTCTTGGAAATGAGAAGTCGAGAACCACCAGGAAACAATTCAGCACCTTTCTCATCTTTCCTAGATATTACCACCCAAAGTCAGTACCAAGGACATGTGAAAACCTCTTTTGAAAGACTGTGCACAACCATTCGCGAATGACAAAATCCCCCATCCTGCAGACACTGCAAAGACACCACTGTCACAGTTAATGACAATACTTAAGGAAGGAAATCAAAACAAGCCCTATTAAAAGCAACGTGCTGCCCCTAAGTTTCAAAATCCATTCGCTAACAAACAACCATCAGAACAGAACACCTTCTACAGCTGATACTCTTTTCTTTATCTTTTCACTCATCTGTTTCAAAAAGCCCATCGCTAAAGGCTTTCTTTTGGATGGGAGAGCCTTCAGGACCTGCTTGATCGCCCATTCTCCTGTTCCTTGTGCACTCACATCAGCAGTTACAAAATATTCCTGAAATTCCAGTTAGAAAACTGCTGCTGAGCCATGCAGACAGAAGCACACAGCACACAGAAAGCCCCCCGGGGTTCTGCTAACCCAGCAGTGCACTCATTGAGACCCCGGCCCTAAGAAACAGCTTTGCTATAAGTGAACAAACCACAGCCGAGCTCCCCTGTCTTTTCCTGCTCCATCTCTACCACAGGCACCTCCAGGATGGAGGACCAATCGCAGCATCCCCTTTAAAACACTCCTAAATAAAACTCATCTCAGCGCTTACCCTTCTGTTTCAGAATGAGAAACAGAAACCATTCTCACAAAGTAAGTATCCGATCAGGAGCAGAGCACGGCGAGGAGCAGGTACTTCTGTGCACTGTGCCATCCCCATTGCTTTCTGGCAGGAAGACCCCCATCGTTTTGTTCTTCTGCAGTGGTTCCATCGCAGGATCTGATGATGCTCTCTAGAGACGCTCCTTTTGCTTTTTAGAGGAAGGAAGCCATCACTACTCGTTTGCCTTGAAGGCTGCCGGGCCTCCTGTGCTCTCTGAAGTGTGTGCAAAGGGCACCCACTGCAGAATGTGATCACATCTCTCATTCATTAACTGTTAATATCAAGATTTTCTGTCAGAGGTTTCCCTTTCACTCTGCTATCACAGGAAATAAATGAAACTTTTGAAGATGCTGCTAGGCAGAGTCATGCATCTGCCTGAGTTTCTATCACACACAGAACGGGTGAGAAAGCCACTGCTTCTCAAGACGAAACTCCTTATTTCGGTCCCAACTCATTGAGTTTCTCTGTTCCCAAAGCAACTTGGTGCTTATCAGTGCTTTATCAGATTCAAAATACATACTCCTGGGTAACTGAAGCGAAATGGTTACGTAAATTCACCTGTTCCAGTCCTAGAAATAATATTTCTGGTTTAAAATGAATTGCTGCTGTTGAGTTCTGTCTGAAGCTATACTGAAGAGCACCTCCACAAATGCCGTGTGACCTATTCCAGATTCCACCCAGAGCAGCAGAAATCAGTACCCAGGTTATAACGCTTTTTTTACAGAAATCAGCAGTAGAAAAACATCATTTTTCCACGCCTTGAGTTGTTCTTTGCACTATTACTACACACAGCTGGACACATTGCTGTACTCACCACCACCTTTGCTCTCGCCAGCAGTCCTTTGAGATCCCCCACTGCACTGGACCAGTCCTCACCTTCCCAAGCACCAGTAGTGGGGGACACTTCAATCCAAGCACCAGTGGTGGGGACGCTTCACCTCCAACTATCACAGCCACACCGACATGGCAGCAAAGCAAAAGCACACGTCAAGCCAACACTACGTGATAACCGAGCCGGAAGGTGGAGGAGAGACCCAGAAACCAGAGGAAACGATGAGAGAAATTTAAAGGAGTGAGAAACCCAAGGAAATTTTTTTCAAATTTGGCTTTTAAGGAAAAATTACGTCCTGTTGTTGTTCAGATAAGTAAGGATACATAAGGGCCACTGAAAGTCATGGAAGGTGAGAGAAAATGCTGCTTATCTCACTGTCAATTTATTTATCCCACTATTTATTTATCTAATCACAGAACTTTTCAAATAATTTTACCAACACTCTTCAGAAACAGATCTTCAGTGTACCTTTGCCATTCATTTACCATTACCTTTTGTCTGCTAGCAGTAATGACTCCCTCGGTAGAACTACACTTTATGTTGCTTATATAAATAACCAAGAGATTATGAACAGCAGAATGAGGTTTGGCAGATTTGCAACATCCAGATAGATAGACATCTCTGGCCTATGTGGTGTCACTTGGTTTTACAACAAATACTGCCTTATTAACTTGCATTTTATATCTGCCATCTCGCTGCTTATGTAGAAGGGGAAATTTGGTTAATTCCACAGAATTCAGGATGGCGGTTTCGTTTTGTTTTGCATATCAGCTTTTCTCTCTAGAGGATTTTCTACCGCAGATCAACTTGTTATGACCATCAAGTACAAAAATAATACAGGTTTTTGCATGGGATGGAAAGCAAGGCCACAGCTACTGCTACCACAGCAACCTAAGAAAGTTCCAATGGGACATGATTTTGGGGGGCAAAAAAATGTCTGTGGATTCCTCCCTTCTGCCTATAGGGGAGGAATTGCCTTGTTTTAGAGTTCACAGGAACCCATTAAGAAAGGAGGCTTTATGGCACAGCCTTTGGTTTTGTGCTTGTAGGCTGTGCTGCGGTCTATCAGCACAAAACCAAAGCCCTTGGTAGAGATTTATGTACTGTTTTCAAGTGCTTCTAACACCAAATAAGGCCCTTGAAGTGGAATATGTGAACCCTGTAAGTTCATGACTACGACATTCATCCCGCTCTATTAATAATATGTTTTATCTTCTTCACTGTAACATTAAATTTTCACCACAGCAAAATAAGGACAGTGAATCCTGGGCAGTAAACGGGGGTTAAATATTCCCTTTCTTTGCATACAAGTGTCATGAGAAGTCAGCTTTAAAATTCAAAACCAAAACTACTTCGCCACAAGCTTCAGAGATAACACAGTAATTTTATAACACCTTCCTCCGGGTACAATAAACATGCATCACCTGAAAACAGACTGCGTATAATTTCAGGAGTTCATCTGGAATAGTTTTCTCTTTATTCCTGATTCTAATTTGTTTCTGAAAGGGAAATCTGGAGAGGTAGAGGGGGAAATGACAACAACCCTTCCCCATCTTTGAAATGAGATGTAAAAGCTTTTTCAAAGCAAGAAAGGAAAAGGCTTGTTGCCAGAAGCTTTGTGAAGTGAAGAAACCACGTTAAAAGCTGAGCAATGGTAGAAGGAAAGTCTGACATAGTGTAAATGATTAATTATTTAAGCAGTTTTCAACATTTGAAATCATTTTCAATTTGGGATCATTTGAATTTTTGATCTTGGCTCTCAGTTCTTCTAACATGACCAGGGATGTACTGAAAGGCATACACATCAGTACCTTTCCCATACAGAGAAAGCAAAGGGAAGCCAATTACCCAGACTTTGAAATAAAGAATGAGATTTTCAGAACAGGTTTGCAGCTAGGGACTCTACATTTTTTAAAAGCTGGCCATAAGTGTCAAAGAAAGGTCAGGATGAGGAGGAAGAAGATGGAAGCAAAAGGTTTGAAACACTTAGAAACCAGCTGGAACAAAACTGGTGGGTCCTCGACACTCAAGGTCAGGCTGGATGGGGCTCTGAGACCTTCGGAGCTGTGGCTGTCCCTGTTCATTGCTGGGGAGTGGACAGAGTTAATGGTCCCTTCCAACTCCAACAGTTCTATGATTCTAAGAAAACTGATTATGTTGTCAGTGGTTTCACCTAAGCCAATTGGCCTCATCATCTCGACCAGCAAAGCAAACAGCAATACAGACAAACAGCTGGGTTCTCCTTTTGGCCAAGGAAGTCA